GGCAGGAAGACCCAGAGATTTCATAGTTTCATAGGGTAGGGTTGGAAGGGACCTGAGCAGATCAAGTCCGACCCCCTGCCATGGGCAGGAAAGAATGCTGGGGTCAAATGACCCCGGCTAAGTGATTATCTAGCCTCCTTTTGAAGCCCCGCAGGGTAGGAGCAAGCACCACTTCCCTTGGAAATTGGTTCCGGATCCTAGCCACCCTGACTGTGAAGTAGTGCCTCCTGATGTCTAGCCTGAATCTACTCTCAGTCAATCATACCTCAGTCTGTAGGTATGCTGCTGGTTCTTCCTCCCTAGGTGCAATACCTTGCACTTGCCAGTGTTGAAACCCATCCTGTTCTCATCCACCCTCCCCTGTAACCTGTCCAGATCTAGTTGCAGCCTGTCCCTCTCCTCTACCATGCCCACTTCTACCCACATCTTAGTGTCATCCGTAAATTTGAAGAAGGTACTTTTCACACCCTCATTCAAGTTGCTGATGAAGATGTTGAACAGTGCGGGCCCAAGGACCGAGCCCTGGGGAACCACACTGTCCACAATCCTCCAGGTCAAAAGTGACCCATCCACCACCACTCTCTGGATGTGGCCCTCCAGCCAATTTGCGACCCATCTGACTGTGTAGGCATCAACACCACAGTCGCCTAATTTTTTTTATGAGAATGGGGTAAGAGACAGTGTCGAAGGCCTTCCTAAAGTCCAGACAGACTACATCCACCACGACACCTGCATCCAAGGATTTTGTAACTTGGTCATAGAAGGCCACCAGGTTGGTCTGACAGGACCTGCCTCTGATGAACCCATGTTGGTTGCCCCTAAGCATAAGCTCCCCTGTTGGCCCCTCGCAGATGTGCTCCTGGATAATTTTCTCCAAGAGCTTCCCCAGGACCGACGTAAGACTAACAGGCCTATAGTTTCTCGGGTCCTCCTTCCACCCTTTTTTGAAAATGGGAGAGTCCATCCACAAAGCAGCTTGTGGAATCAAAGTTCACAATAACAAATTAGCTAATTGAAAAGAGTTATTTCAACATTTGTAGTAAATATACTTACTTGCTAAAGCTAAAATTGACTGACTGGTCACTCACAATTTCAAACTGCACAGGACGATCTCCCATACAGTATTTTCTTAATATCTCAAGGGTAGTATGTAGCGTTTTTCTTGAGGGTTTGTTTTCATGAAAGAGATCCCCGCCTAATAAAATAAAGTCCACCTGCACAAGTACCAAAATTTGGGTTATATTCAAATGGTATTTTGTAAAATCTTAATACTAATTCCCTAAGTGGTCTTGTAAAATTACTAGTTTTATGAAGAAGTGCACGCATGGAGTTTATCTGGGATTCTATATGAAATGCCTTATGTATAAATTATAAAACCAGTAAGCCTCAAACGTCTATGCTTACACTTCGCAATTTAAAAATTAGTCTCCGTAACAAAACAAAAGTTCTATTTAAGGGGAAAAAATGAAAATTACAAAAGAGTACACCAGTTAAAACAAACAAATAAGATGCCAACTAGCTTTTACAAGAATGACACACTAAACTTAACTGAATTAAAGTATTTTACAAAGAAAAGGCCAGAATTTTTATTGTAGCTAAATCATAAACATTTTACTTTGCACATATTTAATGAGGATGCCCTAGAATTTTAAGTTAGATAAACATTCATTCAACAAAACCATCTTTACCAGGATGACAAAGAATCCATCTAAATATGTGGGAAACAAGACTCCTAAAAATAGAGATAACGTTTTCAAAAGTGCCTAAGGGTATGACCATATGAACAACTTACCAGAAAGCAGTGGTTCTCAAACTTTTTTGACTCAGCGCATCCCTCCATAACTAGGGGTGCACCAATAAAAAAATTCTCTCAGCCAACACAGATAGCCAATCCAATAACTTATATTTAGTAATAATGCAAGGCATTTTAAACTACTAACACAAACCTTTTTTTTTTTTTTAGCATGCTCCAACAGCCTCTTGTGTCACATGTATCAGCGTCCTGGTACTTAAAAATGGTGGCGGGGGTGCTTCAACTAAAGCTTGTTGAATGAGCTTTAGTTCAAATGCTGCCACCACCAGTTTTAAGTGTGAGGGTGATGATATAGGACACGCTGCAGCACTTTAATTGGAGCAGCTCTCACAGTTGCTCTAATTAAAGTGCCGCTCCTCCCAAGCACATGTAAAAGTGCCAAGGGGCAACTGCTTGAGCTTGCCCAGCAGGGCTGAGGGGAGAAACGGTGAGCCTTCTTGGCTGCGCAGAGCTGGGTGGTCTCTGGGCCAGGCTCCCCACTTTCTTCCCTCTGCCCAGGTCAGGGCCATAGGACTATTCCAGGCCTGGAGAAACTGGGCCATTCCTCACCCACAGCTGGGCTCCAGGTCCCAGGTGCTGGACTCCAGAAGAAGGAAGGGCCCATTCCCCTCCTGGTGCTACTGCTGCCAGGGGCAGGGCGAGCTTCTGTGACCCATGGGGGAGGCTGAATGGACCGGCCCCAGGAAGAGCAGGACCTGGCAGGGCTGCGGGTAGGATGACATATGCCTGCCTCTCCTCTCTACTCCCCATCTCCCCTCACCCTCCCACCTCAGCTGGAGCAGAGCCGAATGGGGTAAGGGTGGATGCGGGCCATCTGCTGTGGGCTCGGGGCTCTATGCCCTGCTGCCTTTGCCCCAGGAACCATGCGCCAGCCACATGTACCTTGCCTGCTTGACAGCAGGAAGCATAATTCATTGTCCCTACTGCTGCCAAGTGGGCGAGGGGCACATAGCCAGTGCAGGCTCCTGAAGGAAAGGCAGCAGGGTGGAGAGCCCCAAGTTCACAGCAGGCAGCTGGCATCCAACCTGGGCACAAATATGGAGGGGGCACATGCCCCCCACCATGCCTCCCCTGGGGAGGTGAGCACAGCAGCGGGGAGCTGCCCCCCTTTCATGCCCTCCTAAACAAGTCGCCCATGGCTCCGTCCTATTCCCTGCCTTGGCACTGGATCCCATGCACCGCCCTGGGTGGGCAGCATCCCCAGCCCAGCCCCATTCCCTCCATTACTCTGGGGACCTCGATCTACCCGGCTACACCTTTCCACCTCCATAGACTTACCTGCAGGGAGCTGCATTCCACACTGCCCAGCTGTATTCCTGGCCATATGCATGTGTGCAGCCACACATGCACATGGGCCCTCTGTGTCCCGCTCTCAGCAGCCCCAAGTAAGACCCCTTGTAGGCTAAAAGGCTGCCCACCTGCAAGGGGAAACCTGCTGTTTCCTGAGGAAACCCAGGCATCTGGGGGCCCCGGCTCTGCGGGGGAGACTGTTTCAGGCTGGACATAAGGAAAAATTTCTTTACTGCCCAAGCCCCCAAGGCCTGAAACAGACTCCCTCCAGAGGTCGTGCAAGCACCTACTCTGGATTCTTTTAAGAAAGATTTGGATGCCTATCTTGCTGGGATCCTTTGACGCTACCTGACTTCCTGCTGGACATAGGAGGGCTGGACTTGATGATCTTCCAAGGTCCCTTCCAGCCCTAATGTCTATGAAACATGGACAATTCCACACAGCAGCTGACATGCAGTAACACCCAACAGCCTTTTATCCTCTAATAGGTTGCTCATATGTCCATATCTTAAGCAACTGAGAAACCTAAGTTGTATTTTTAAAAGCACTTAAAGTCAATGTAGCACTTAAACCCCATTTACTTCACTACTACAATGAACTCTAGCAACCTTCAATTATGGTATAAGGAACACTTTGTAATATTTTCTGAAAAACATTTAAGGTCTAAATCTCAGTGCTTTATTTTTAACATGGCAATAAGACCACTTACTTCATTTTCTTGAGCATGTCTCAAAATTTCATCAAAAGTTACAAATGTATCATTTCCACGAACTGGATCCTTCTCCAGGTATCCAAGGTGAATGTCAGTAGCCACCAGAATTTTAAAAGTATTTTCATCATCCCTGAATGAAACAGAAAATTATTATTATTTATTTTTATTTTTTTTAGGGGGAAAAAAACCGAAGTAGTCATTTATTACTGTGGTAAAAAAATTGGTTAACAGCTTTATTATGAGACGTATACGCCTTCCTTCCCAACAAAGGCACGGGATGGGGCAGCTTGCAGGAGAGCAAAGTATCTTCTATAAAAAAAGAAAAACTACACAACCCGCAGGGAACAAAAAGATCAATGCGGTACGTTACAAAAGCCAATAAAGTATTAAAATAACCTATAGAGCAGTGGCTCTCATTCGTTTTAAACTCCACACACTCCTCCAAAACTTGGGGGAACTGAGCAGAGCCCCATTTCCAAATCTAACTCGTTTACTGCAGTGCTCACCTCCTGGTGCAGGGCTGGGCGTTGCTGGGGGCAGAGGGGGCAGAGGAGCAAGGAGGATCGGGGGGG